GACCTCCAGTAAGAACATTGGACAGTTACCATCTAGACAGAAGATAGAGTGGACAGCGAAGCACCAACAAGCGCTAGAAGGCCTGCTGGATTGCCTCACTCGTCCCCCAGTGATGAGCTTCCCCGATCATGACAAACCGTTTGTCCTGCATACAGATGCCTCCAACGACGGACTGGGCGCAGTTCTTTATCAGGAAAAAAACGGCAAAATGAGAGTGATAGGATATGGATCCCGAACGCTCAGCCCTGCAGAGAAAAACTACTATCTCCACTCTGGGAAGCTGGAATTCCTTGCACTGAAGTGGGCGATAACGGACAAGTTCCGTGATTATTTGTTCTATGCGCCCTCATTCACAGTGTTCACTGACAATAATCCACTCACTTATGTCCTTACATCGGCCAAACTAAATGCGACAGGACACCGGTGGGTAGCCGAACTCGCTGACTTCAACTTCAAGATTAGATATCGCCCAGGACGGAACAATGCCGACGCAGATGTGCTGTCTCGCTTCCCACTGGATGTCAGCGAGTACATGGCTCAGTGTACAGAGGAGGTAACAACGGACCACATCAGTGCAGCAGCCAATGCAGTCATAGCCAGGCAATCAGTCTTTTGCCCATGGATCACAGCGGTTACAGCTGACACGTCCTGCCCTGATGATGAGACAACATCGACCCAACAAATCAGTAAACAAGAGCTGAAGACAGCCCAGCAAGCCGACAATGTCATTGGCCCTGTTCTTCGTCACGTTACCAGTGGACAACGACCAGATAGACAGGATCGGGCAGGTGAACACCCAGACACCACTATTCTTCTCCGTGACTGGTGTAAGCTGAGTGTCGACAAGGATGGGGTGTTACTTCGCAAATCAGGCAAAAGATCCCAACTCATCCTTCCTCGCCAGTACCATTACTTGGTGTACAAGGAGTTGCACGAGGAAATGGGTCATCTTGGTGCAGAGCGAGTCATCCACCTAGCCCGAGAACGCTTCTACTGGCCCCACATGCAGCGAGACATTGAACATCATGTCACGAGGGTCTGCAGATGCCTCAAGCAACGCAAGCCAAACCGCCAGACTCGTGAGCCGCTCCACAGCATAGTGACGACAGCCCCCTTTGAGATGGTGTCCATTGATTTCGTACATCTGGAAAGGAGTGTGGGAGGGTATGAGTATATCCTGGTGGTGATGGACCATTTCACCCGGTTCGCCCAAGCATACCCGACCACCAACAAGTCGGGCAGAACAGCAGCTGACAAAATCTTTAACGATTTTGTCCTACGGTTCGGTTTCCCCCATAAACTCCATCACGACCAGGGGAGGGAGTTTGAAAACCAACTGTTCCAGAGGTTACAGACACTGTGCGGCATTTCACCATCCAGAACGACCCCATACCACCCACAAGGAAACGGTCAGGTTGAGCGATTCAATCGAACCCTTCTGGGGATGTTACGCACCCTACCGGAGAAGGAAAAGTCCCGCTGGAAGGAGTCGGTGAACAAGATGGTGCACGCATATAACTGTACTCGTTCCGATGCCATGGGGTTTTCACCGTTTTTCCTTCTATATGGCCGTCAACCTCGCCTGCCCGTTGACCTGATGTTTGGGTTGGAGCAGAAAACAGAACCCCTGAAGAACCACCAAGAATTCAGCCAGCGCTGGAGAAGACAAATGGAGGAAGCCTACGAAGTGGCCAGGCAAGCAGCAGCGAAGAATTCTGCACGGGGTAAAAGCCACTACGATCGTAGAGAGCACAGTAGCATCCTTCATCCTGGTGATAGAGTACTTGTGCGGAACCTCGGTGAGACGGGTGGCCCAGGCAAGCTGCGAGCCCATTGGGAAAAGGAAGTTCACACTGTGATCAAACGGCTCAGTGATGACTCCCCAGTCTATGAACTTCGCCCTGAGAGCGGGAGAGGAAGAACGAGGACCCTTCATCGAAATTTGCTACTGCCCTGCAATTATTTGATGGCAGAAGAGAAGGATGAACCTCAAACGTTGTCCAGTACTAGAAGCAGACGGGCCCAGAAACCCCTACCCCAACCAGCACCCCGCACCAGAAGACAGCCCCCGAGTACGGCACTGCTGGAGAGTGACTCAGATAGCTCTGATGATGGGTGTCTAATTCAGCTACGACCAGTCCCAGCCCCCCGCAGACGCCAGCAGCCAGGTAGAACCACTAGCACTACTTCTTCCCTGAACCACAACGCAGAGGTCTTCATTCCGGCTGAACATGGGAAGAAAGGGGTAAAACAGGTAGCCCCTGAGCCAATCATCAGCCATGAGCCAGTGGTCCAACCGCGGCCAGTGGTCAGCCCTGAGCCTGCAGTACGCCCTGAACTAGTGACTAGCTCCGAGGCAGGGGTCAACCCCGATCCAGTCGCCAGCCTGGGGCCAGCTGCCAACCCTGAGCCAGTGGTTAGGCCGGAGACAGTCACCAGCCCTGAGCCAGACGTAACCCCTGAGTCAGTCGTCAGCTCACAGTCAGACGTAAGCTC